TGGTTCCCGCCATCCTCGGGGCCGCCGTGGGCCCCAGGGGCGCCAGCCAGAGCTGGGAACACGATTTCGGGCTTTTCCGGCCTGGATCTCTCCAAAATCATGGTTCCTGCCATCCTCGGGGCCGCCGTGGGTCCCAGGGGCGCCAGCCAGAGCTGGGAACCACGATTTCGGGCTTTTCCGGCCTGCGTGGTCCTGGTTCCCGACATCCTGGGGGCTCGTGGGCCAGGGGCGCCAGCCAGATGGGAAACCACGATTTCGGGGCTTTTTCCGGCCTGGATCTCTCCAAAAATCGTGGTTCCGCCATACTCGGGCCGCCGTGGGCCCCAGGGGCGACAGCCAGAAGCTGGGACGCACGATTTTTGGGGATTTTCCGGCCTGGATCTCTCCAAAATCGTGGTTCCCGCCATCCTCGGGGCCGCCGTGGGTCCCAGGGGCGCCAGCCAGAGCTGGGAACCACGATTTCGGGTTTTTCCGGCCTGGATTTCTCCAAAATCGTGGTTCCCGCCATCCTCCAAATCGTGGGTTCCCCCATTAAAGGATGATCCTCGGGCCGCCGTTGGCCCCAGGTGCGCCCAGCTCAGAGCTGGGAACCACGATTTCGGGCTTTTCCGGCCTGGATCTCTCCAAAATCGTGGTTCCCGCCATCCTCGGGGCGGCCGTGGGCCCCAGGGGCGCCAGCCAGAGCTGGGAACCATGATTTCGGGCTTTTCCGGCCTGGATCTCTCCAAAATCGTGTTTCCCGCCATCCTCGGGGCCGCCGTGGGCCCCAGGGGCGCCAGCCAGAGCTGGGAACCACGATTTCGGGCTTTTCCGGCCTGGATCTCTCCAAAATCGTGGTTCCCGCCATCCTCGGGGCCGCCGTGGGCCCCAGGGGCGCCAGCCAGAGCTGGGAACCACGATTTCGGGCTTTTCTGGCCTGGATCTCTCCAAAATCGTGGTTCCCGCCATCCTCGGGGCCGCCGTGGGCCCCAGGGGCGCCAGCCAGAGCTGGGAACCACGATTTCGGGCTTTTCCGGCCTGGATCTCTCCAAATCATGGTTCCCGCCATCCTCGGGGCCGCCGTGGGTCCCAGGGCGCCAGCCAGAGCTGGGAACCATGATTTCGGGCTTTTCCGGCCTGGATCTCTCCAAAATCGTGGTTCCCGCCATCCTCGGGGCCGCCGTGGGTCCCAGGGGCGCCAGCCAGAGCTGGGAACCACGATTTCGGGCTTTTCCGGCCTGGATCTCTCCAAAATCATGGTTCCCGCCATCCTCGGGGCCGCCGTGGGTCCCAGGGGCGCCAGCCAGAGCTGGGAACCACGATTTCGGGCTTTTCCGGCTTGGATCTTCCAAATCGTGGTTCCCGCCATCCTCGGGCCGCCGTGGGCTAGCTGCCCACGATTTCAGGCTTTTCCGGCCTGGATCTCTCCAAAATCATGGTCCCCGCCATCCTCGGAGCCGCCGTGGGTCCCACGGGCGCCAGCCAGAGCTGGGAACCGCGATTTCGGGCTTTTCCGGCCTGGATCTCTCCAAAATCATAGTTCCCGCCATCCTCGGGGCCGCCGTGGGTCCCAGGGGCGCCAGCCAGAGCTGGGAACCACGATTTCGAGCTTTTCCGGCCTGGATCTCTCCAAAATCGTGGTTCCCGCCATCCTCGGGGCCGCCGTGGGCCCCAGGGGCGCCAGCCAGAGCTGGGAACCACGATTTCGGGCTTTTTCCGGCCTGGATCTCTTCAAAATCGTGGTTCCCGCCATCCTCGGGGCCGCCGTGGGCCCCAGGGGCGCCAGTCAGAGCCAGGAACCATGATTTCGGGCTTTTCCGGCCTCGATCTCTCCAAAATCATGGTTCCCGCTTCGGTTTCCGCCATCCTTTTGGCCGCCGTGGGTCCCTGGGGCGCCAAACAGAGCCGGGAACCGGGATTTCGGGCTTTTCGAGCCTCGATCTTTCCAAAATCTTGGCTACCGCTATTTTCTGGGCTGCCCTGGGTCCCTAGGGCGCCAGACAGAGCCTGGGGGCGGGGGGTGCTCTCTGCACGCTCCATGACTCTCAGCTGGGCCGGCGCCTCCGCGCATGCATGGAGCCGGGGACTAGACCGCTACGACGCGGAGTGGCGGCGATGTGCCAGCCTGCACCGCTCCGCCCACCCAGCGGTCTCGTCCTCCCAGCGCGATCTGCAGCATCGACCGACTGCGATTTTCTTGGCCACCAGCGTGTCGTCTTGCATTGTTCTAGCTCTCGTGCTGTTTCACCATCGCTCGGCATCTTTCATGCTAAGGTTGTTTAAGCGCATGGGTCATCCTGCTTTTGTGGGCAGTCGGTTCGCGCTGGGGCTTCTGCTGACTGCTCGGATCGCACCTGTGCTAGAAAGTCCATGAGGACTTGAGCTTTTCCAGCCTCGATCTCTCCAAAATCATGGTTCCCGCCATCCTCTGGGCCGCGGGGCCCTGGGAGCGCATAGCAGCAGAGACCACAGAGCAGCAGAGAGTACAGAGCAGCAAAGAGCAAAGAGCAGCAAAAAGAGCACAGAGCAGCAGAGAGCACAGAGCAGCAGAGAGCACAGAGCAGCAGAGAGCACAAAACAGCAGAGAGCACAGAGCAGCAGAGAGTACAGAGCAGCAGAGAGAGCACAGGGCAGCAGAGAGCACAGAGCACAGAGCCGGGAACCACGATTTCGGGCTTTTCCGGCCTGGATCTCTCCAAAATCATGGTTCCCGCCATCCTCGGGGCCGCCGTGGGTCCCTGGGGCGCCAGACAGAGCCGGGAACCGGAATTTCGGGGGTTTTCCAGCCTCGACTTCTCCAAAATCATGGTTCCCGCCATCTTCTGGGATGCCCTGGGTTCTTTTCGCGCGCGCGCCCAGCGGATTTCTTTCGAACGGCCCGCAGTTTTCGCGCGAATCGATTTCGCGCGGACGGCGGACCCTCGCGCGCCGGGCGGGCGCACCGCGGTCTCCCAAGGGGGAAGCGCGCAGTGGCGCCCTGGTGCCCCGCGTGGAATCGCCGAGGTTCCGCCAGGTGGCCGCAGCTCGGCCATGCCCAGGGCGCCAGGTTTTTGCAGCGCGCCGATGCGGGCAGGGCTAGAGCCCCATTCCGACTTGCACGTTCGCAGTCACGAGAATCCTGTCCGATTGTGCGCTCCGGAGGCCAGTCAGGAGAATGTCGAGGAGGATCAGAGCCACGGACGGGAAAATCCTGTCCGTGAGCCCGCGGGCGGGAAATTCGAGGCCGTGGGCTCACGGGCATGATTCTCCCGTCGCTCGTGGGGCCACGGACAGGATCTTCCCGTCCGTGGTTATGATTTTCAGCGTGCTCTTGGTTGGCCCCTGGAGTGAATTTCCCGCCAGGGTGGATCGCCGTGACCCTGAATTTACCATTCGGCGTTCCCTTCGGGATGCAAGCCGCTGATCGCCAGATCTTGAAACGCTGTCTTACCGATTAGGCCACGGAGGCTATTGGGCAGAGCTTGAATCCCATGCCGCGGTGCACACTCACGGCCGCGAGAATCGTGCCCGTGAGCCATCGTGAGCCCACGGGCGGGAAACTCGAGGCCGTGGGTTGCGCGCTCCAAGTGCCGATCAGGAGAACGCCGAGGAGGGTCAGAGCCACGGACGTGGAAGTCCTGCCCGTGAGCCCGCGTGGGGTAAATTCGAAGCCGTGGGCTCACGGGCATGACTCTTCCTCCGTCCACTGTCTGTGGGTACCGCGGGGGGCTGCTGCCAGACCCTGGAGAGTCGTGCTAAGCAGATTCAGGCCTCGAAGTCCAGGCGCGCTGCCAGTCGCAAGCTCATCGCCTGTGTGGTGGTCGCGAGACTCTCACCCCGCCCTCTGCCCCCAATGCATCCCCTTTCCCTAGAGAATTCTTCCCTGTCGCACCCGGAGGCTGGTCGAAAGGGCGGGCTGGGCGTTTCGTCAGAGGCATCCTCACCATTTATGATCCTGAAATTTGAACTTCTGCAACAGCTGAACGGATGGAGGGCGGCCCGCTTTCAAAATGCGTTTGTCGCCTTAGCGCCGCGCACACTCAAAATAAATATTCGCTGGAGCTTCACGGATGGAGGGCGGTTCCTTTCCAAACTGTGATTCTCGCCTTGGCGCCGCGTGCATTCGTTTGAGAACAGATGCCAGAGTTTCACAGATGCAGGGCGGCCCGCTTCCAAAATGTGGTTCTCGTTTTGGCGCTGCGCACATTCGTTTAAACAAATTTCGCGAGTTTCACGGGTTGAGGGCGGGTCGTTTTCAAAATGTGGTTCTCGCATTAGCGCCGCGTTCATTCGTCTTAAGAGTTTGCAGCAGGTGCGAGAATTATCATGGTCCACGTCCCGCAAATTGTGTTTTGACACGATGACGGGTGTCAGGACGCAAAAGTCCCGTTGATTCGCGGTGTTGAAGTCCCAGGACTGGCGTTTTGGCACGATTCAGGATCGCCCAAGCGCAACATTAACGGTGATTCGCGGCGTTGGAGTCCCAGGAATGGCTTTGTGGCACAGCTCCGGATTTGCAAACGGTATTTTTCTAACGGGGTATTTCCCTCAGTGAAAATGAATCCCTTTTGTGGAGTCTATGAAGAGGGAGCTTGGAGGGAGGGTTTATTGCCATATCGTTGATGGCTCTCGGGTTTACACTAGTCCTCCTCCTCCTCATCCTCCTCTTCCTCCTCCTCCTCCTCCTCCTCCTCCTCCTCCTCCTCCTCCTCTTCCTTCTCCTCCCTCCTCCCTCCTCCTCCTCCTCCCTCCGCCTCCTCCTCATCCTCCTCCTCCGCCTCCTCCTCCTCCTCTCTTCCTCCTCCTCCTCCTCCTCCCCTCCTCCCTCCTCCCTCCTCCCTCCTCCTCCTCCTCCTCCTCCTCCTTCCTCCTCCTCCTCCTCCTCCCTCCTCCTCCTCCTCCTCCTCCTCCTCCACCTCCTCCTCCTCCTCCTCCTCCTCCTCCTCCCCCTCACCCCTCCCCCCCCGCCATCTCCCCCCCCCCACCTTCGTCCTCCTCGGCTCTCTCTCTCTTTCCGGCCGCCGCCCTGCGCCTGCTCGGAGGCCCGGCGGGGCTGCCGGCCCAGCGGCAGCGGCGGCCGCTGGGCGCGACGCCGTTGGCGCGGAGGCCGAGGCGCCAGCGCCCGCGCGGTGGGGCGTTCCCTCGTCCGCGTTGGCGCCGTGCGCAGGGAGGGGCCGTAGATGGACAAGAGAGTGGAACCCTCGACACCACGCTCCCCCCCCAACAAAAATTCAAAATTGGCCTCAAGCATTCGGCAGCACAGGCGTGAGAGGACAAAAAAGTGGACCCCCCAGGGCCTCCGGCAGGCCGAAGCCAACTTTGAAATTGGGGTGGAGGGGTGGGGCGAACGCGGGGGCGAAGACGAATGGGGCTCCACTTTTTTGTTCCCTCACCGGAGGGGGGCAAGGGAGGAGGGCGGGGAAGAGGCCTCTGAGAAGCCCCGCCGCCTTCCGAGAAGGCCTGCCCCCTCTCACTTCCCCCTCCGGGCTCGCCGCCGACGTTAGCCCCGTCCAATGGATCCTCGGCGGAGTGTTCGTTGAGATGCAGTCCGCATAGACACACGTTTGCGGGGTGTGCGCCCGCGCGGTGAGCCCTGGGCCGTCGTGGTCGTACGTGTTCAGGAGCTCCTCGAGCGCTGCGTCATGGGGGGGCGATACAATCGGGACGCTGAAGAAGGAACCCTTGTCGTTGGGGAGGGGCTCTGTGTTCCTTAATTGTTTCACAGCTTGCCTTAGGTTTTCCTCAGGTTTTCGATGGGAAATCGAAGGTCAACTTATAGACAAACCTCGTTCCGTATTTGGGGTTCCTTAGGTCAACACCCCGGGGGGAGAAAGATGCACCTCTCGTGGCCGAAAGGGCCCCCTGGGGCCCAAAAGGGGCACGAAAGGTGCACGCGTCTCCCCCCCCATTCATCGCGCCCCCATGAAACAACGCCCGAGCTCCTCAAAACATGCGGACTCCAACCCAATATGAGGCGTCCAACTCTGGAGCCCGATCTTTCCTTCGCAGCGGATCGTGTAGTGCTCGGTCACTACTCCATCCATATCGGGGCTGTCTCTATTCAAGCCCGTGTCCTGGTAGTGGTCTTGCAGGATGCTGGTTTTCATCGTCTGTTTCCACTCGAACGTATTGGTAAGGTCTCCAGCCGCACAGACTAGCCCATCCGACAAACTGTCCTCCAGCTTCCTCACGAAGTCCTCGGTTTTTCTGGCTTGGGCAATTGCTGGCTTTCCCTGACCATTCGCACGCTCTCCTGGTGAGATTTTCCAACGGACCTGGTCGACTCCACTGACTGGGTCGACCAGACTTGCCGTGCTTTGGCGGTCATGTCCTTGTCTAGCTCGACTTTGTTTCCTCACTATGTTTTCTTTAGCGTGACCTTGTCAAGCCAATCATCTCCGCGGTAAGGCGCCATCCATCACTAGTCTCCGGAGCTCCTCGGCCGTTGGCCTGCTCACCGACATTTTGAAGGAGCTACCCTGCCGCCCGACTCAGCTCGCCAGGCTTACCGTGCGCTCCAGCCCAGCAGGTCGGCTTGTCGATCAGAGCCCCTTCGACCGCCCCGAAGAAGGTCCTGGGCCAATCGGCCACCCCGTAATTACATGCACCCTCGTCGGCAATTCCAGCGCTCTCCCTCTCTCCCTCTCTCTCGCACACACTTTAGCATGAGGGGAACGCGTCCAGAGGGAAACGGGGGTCCTGTAACCTGGGGTCTCCCCCAGGACAAGCTCTTCGTCCTGAGTCGTTTTCTGACAGTCCTGGGGCCCATGGAGGGCTCCGAGAGCCAGAAACGGCGAAAAACCTCAGGACCCGTTTCCTTCAGGACCTTTTTTTCCCATGGCGACATATGTATATATATATAGAGAGAGAGCATTATCTCTCTTTCTCTCTCTCGCTCCCTTCACCGCGCCGCCGCTCGGCGGGGCTTCCGCTGCTCCTCCAGCCAGCGCCCCGTCTGCTGGAGGCGCGGGCTTTTGCGATGCTGCAGTTCCGATCATCCTGGCCCCACTCGTTCTCCACTGGTGTGAAGCCGGGCACATCGCTCTACAGGAGGAATGCAAATCTTCAAAAATAGTCAAAAATACTCTGGGGACGATTTTTTTGAGAATTGCGTGACTATCTTCTGGCATCTTTGGGATATGTTTAATCTTTCCCGCAAAATCCGCCTGTAGGGGGACATGCCCGACCTAACACTGGCGGGGCGACCAGCGCCGTCGGTCTCCATTGGCGGGACGGCCGGCGAGCCTTGACGCGACCCTGGCGCCGCCAGCGGCCACGGCTGCAAGGCGCTTCGTCACGCCGCGCCGCCGCACGGCGCGAGCGGTGTTGCGGGCCCGCCGCCCACGGAGTCAGAAGAGCCCTGCCGCCCTCTTAGCATTTGGGGCGCGCTCCTCGTGCACTTTCGGGGAAAGGTAAGACTCGAGTAAGCCGGAACTCGGGTTCGCCGACGTTTTTTGACGAGCGCGTCCTGGATTTTGACGGTCCAGTGTTCGTGGGATGTTTGCAGCGGGAGTTCGCGTCAAATTTCAGATTGGGTCTCGTCATCTTTCTAATGGCACCGTCGGGCCAACCCGAGTCCCTCGTACACGACTCCTACGTCTCCCCGATATTGATTCGCCCGACCCAACTTGGTCTGAAGCTCCTCCACCGAAGCCTTCGATGCGATCTATCATCGGTCGTTGGACAGTCTACCCCCCTGGTTTTCCGACCCTTCTCGCCCAGCTCCGGTTGGGTTTGCGCCTCCTGCGTCTCGCTCCTCTTTGCTCTGCGCTCGCAGCCCCCCCTGCCCTCCTGGCAGGCAACGCTCTTCTGCTCTCGCGTCTCTCGGTTCCTTCGGTCGTCGGGCTTTCCTCGCCGGACACTAAACAATGACAGATTCCTCGCAGTTCCGCGCAGACCATAAACGAGTTCCTCTAGAGAACTAAACGATGACAGGTTCTAGAGAACTAAACTGAGCATAACAACTCGGGGTTCCGCGCAGGTTTTTTGGGATCGGCGCGGACCCCCCTCCCTCAAGGTTCTGTTTGTCTCTTTCAGGATGGACTTCCTCTTTGCTGTGCACCTCTCCGGCATTCGCGCACATGGACTACATGTTATGAGCGTGGGTTCCTTCCCCCCCGCGTGACCCTTGCCTTCCGCCATGTCTGCTTAGTGCTTCAATTAGTTTCGGAAGCGCCCCTCCGTCGCTCGAGCGCCGCTTGAGTCAAGCGGCCGCGGACCAACACAGCTTTTCCCCTTCTAGGTCCAGCGTGTGCTAGGTGTCGGTACCTTTCTGGGAGCACCCCGCCAGCTGAAACCGATTGCCCTGGAGATGGCGATTGCCTTGCGGTTCCCATGGATGCTCCCAAGTCAGGAGATATCTACCTCACGGTCGTGAGCCTTCGCGCTTGGACCCATCAGCCCGTCTTCCTGGTCAAGGCAAGTCAGGCTCGATATCAAGATGTGGTGGACTGTGTCCACATGTCGCGAGGCGTCTTCAGTGGTTCTCATAGCTCTCCATGCACAAAATTCGCGGCACCACGATGGTGGCCGCCTTGAGTCACAATGCCGCAGCGTGCGAGTCTCACGCTGCGCATTAAGCCATATTCGATATTGCAGACCAGATGCGTTCTCAAATGGTGGCAATGGCACCGACGGCAGTGGTATCATTCAGCTGCTACATGCAAACGTACACTCTCCAGGAGTAGCAGGTATGACGATGATGATGATGATGATGATGATGATGATGATGATGATGATGATGATGATGATGATGATGATGATGATGATGATGATGATGATGATGATGATCGCAATGAAGAGGAGGAGGAGAAGGAGGAGGAGGAGGAGGGCCAGTGTAAACGCAAGACGTATCAACGATATTGCAATACACCCTCCCTCCAAATTCCTTCTTTGCCGGTCCCCGAATAACCTGATTTTCATTGTGGGTAGTGGCCAATTAGAAGACAACCGTCTGAAAACTCTCAGTCGTGCCAGAATGCATTTCTGGGACTTCAGCGTCGCGGAACAACGTGACTGTTGCGCCCTGGCAAACCGAAGCCCTGCCAGAACGTAGTTCATGCATCCTCAACACTGCGACGCGTGTTAGGTCCTGACAGCCCCAGATCGCGCCAGAACGCCATTCCTGGGATTTCGACCATACGAATCCTTGAAGAAGCTGCACACGTTCGAGACGAATGTGCGCGGCGCCACAGCGAGAGCTGCATTTGGAAAGGAACAGCCCTCCATCCTTGAAGCTGTTGCAAACTTTTGCAACGATTGTGCGCGGCGCCAAGACGAGAATCACACTGCGAAAAGGAGCCGCCCTCCATCCTTGAAGCTGTTGCATGTTTAGACGAATGCGCGCAGCGCTGAGGCGAGAGCAACATTTTGAAAACAACCCGCTTGCAAATTGCAAGCACCAGGATCACAACTTACTTGCGAGGAGCGGTGGGCTGGAGGTGCGACGAAGAGTTACTTGTAAGGGAAACGGATGGAGAAGGAGGAGGAGGAGGAGGAGGAGGAAGGGGATGGGGGAGGAGGAGTGGGGAGCTGGCGTTTATTCTCATTTGCAGGAAGAAAAGGGGGGAAGGAGATGAGAGGCTCCCGCTCGTCCTTTTGCTCCACATGTTGCTCCTCCTGCTCATGCTGTTGCTCCTCCTCCTCCTCCTCCTCCTCCTCCTCCTCCTCCTCATCCGCCTCCTCCTCCTCCTCATCGCATCGCTCCTCGTCAATGTCTATCTGCATGTGCTCTGCGGGTGCGAGGCGCGTGAATCCTGCGAGTCCGTAGATTTGAAGCTCCAGGGGCCCGTGGACTCTGAGGAGGGGGGCTGATGGATCCTGCGAGACCGAGAATCCGGGATTCTGAGGATGTGGTTCGGATGTTGCTAGAAGTGCTTGGCCCAAGGTGCCCCCAGGATTGCCAAGGAGGCCCCCACGGCCTCCAGAGCACCCCTCACGAGGCCCAGAGGGCCCCAGGGGCTACATCATTGAGCGAGCAGCGGGGGGCAACCTGGGCCAGGGGCACCTTTAGCAACCCCTGGGTGGTGGTGGACGGATTGCGAGAGTCCGCGGATTCGAAGATCACTACGGTTTCATTCGGCGCTTATTCCAGTACTGACTGGGCGCCCCCCTCCCCCGCCGCCGCCATTTTGAACTGATTTTGGCCGGCGAGCCCGCCGCAATTTTGCTGTCGCCTAGTTGCGGTTGCGGTTGCGCCCGCGGGCGGGTTGAAATGTGTCGGTTGGTTGGGAATTGATAAGTATTGTCATTCCGCGTCACGCGGCACGCCCTGTGCAATAGAAGTGCAAATCTGTCTTTGGAGAGCCACGTTTCACGGCGTGCTCTTCAAGGTGATTCAACAAGTTCTCTTGTGAGGGGATCATAAGATTTGCATTCTCGCTTGATGCGGACAGATCTTAATGTTTTTGTTGTTTTGCCGTTCCATCCGTTCTTTTCCGAAATGTATTGCGTGTTCATTTTATCATTACGATTATTGGAGCTCCGCGTTTGTTGTTATATTCGTTGTAGTTTTACCCAATTGGTTGCGAAATGCAGCCCGCCAGAATACTTCCAAAGTGGTTACAAGACGATACGCCGCCAACTTTTTACGGGGCGTTCCAACTGATGTGTATTCGTTGTTTGCCTCGCCGCCGTTTTATTCGATATGTCAGTTACTGTTTCAGGTTGTTGTTCTCCGCTGCCCACTTATTTTCTGATATAGAGTATGTTTTAATGCTTCCGGTGTGATATTCGAAGCTCAGGGGTCCGTGGCGCTGGGGTAGGCGGCGGGCGACACCCTCTGAGATGTCAGCCCCAGCGTTCTCAGGGTTTCCGCAGTCGGCCATGTGTGGGCAATGGAACTTGCTGGGTACCAGTTGGTATCTGTAGCGCGTCAACACCGTGGTAGGGCACATCACGAGGCTGCCGTGGATCATGCACTGGTGGAGAGGACGCGGCGGCAAGATGTAGAAGACGAGCAGGGGGATGTTGTGGATATGCAGGCGGTGCTGCGGGCGGCAATCCTCTCCCCCTTCGGCCAGTGCACCCCGCGCACACCTTCCACGCCTCGCAAGGATACCCTCAGGAGTGCTGGAGAAGTGTCGGTCTTGCTAGTGGTTGGCGCATGGTGAAATAACAGTGCCCGAGGCATTGCAACGATTCGCTGGCCTCACACACTGCTGGCACTGCGCCTGCATGATTCCTACCACGGGCCCCATCCACCAGACCCTGGCTCTTCTTCCTCTGCCTCCTCCTCCTTCTCCGCCCTCCTGCAAACAGGGAGACAGGGTTCGCTTTCTTTTCTTCCCCCGTCCTTTGCGTCGTTTTGTCCCTCTGCCCTTCCACCAAAGGGCAAGTGCGGGCTGCGGTCCACGCAAGCATCGAAAGAAGCGGAGGCACGAGGCGGGGAATGGGTTGGATATCAGCTGACCTGGTTCACCCGCATGGGCGCAACGATAATCATGGCTTCGCGCTTTGCGGTCTTGCCCGGAGAGTGCCCTTTCTCCGGGGGGGCGGCGCGAGGACGCCAAGATAACCGTGCGGCGCGAGGTGGGAAGCCAGGCGGCCTCGGCTGCAGCGCGGGCCGCGCCACCAGTCAGATGCCGCCCTCCCAGAAGG